CTTTGCCATGCTGAAAAGGCCTTCCTACAGAAGTTCTAAGATGGCGTTTTCATTGTCGTCAAACCAATCTTGGTGTGGCCTCCTTTTAGGACCAAGTGTACTCTTAGCTGTCTCCTTCACCACTTTTTTTAACTGGTCTCATTGCTGATGTGTGGTGCTTCCAGAGAGTGGTCCATGGGAGTGCAACTCGGTATCAAGGCTATTTGCAAATTTTCTCGTGTATGTGGGGATGTTTCAACTGATCCACATTGTAGAATGCCCTTGTAGGTGCTCTCTTCTTTTAGGGGCAATATGTAATCTAAGGATTGATCTGATCAAGCGATGGTCAGTCCAACACTCAGCTCCTCTCATGGCACGTGTGATTTTGAAGTCACTGATGTCACACTTGTGGCAGATAGCATAATCCAGCACATGACACTGTTTTATACTTGTCACCTCATAATATCATCTAATCAAGTACAGCATCAACTAAGCAACCTACAGACCAAAAATCATGACAATTCATCAATCCAATTGGTTCTCAAGCTTAAGTTATCTCCCTTGAAACATTTTTCAACAAAGGCTCCTGCAGTAGAACAAGCTGCCAGGGGGCCCAATCTCACATCACTCCAATAGGACCTGCAATAATGACCTCCATGGAGCTATCTCCATGGAGCTACCTCCATGGAGCTACCTCCATGGAGGTAACTTAGTTCAGACCTGCGGCTGAAATTTTCTACCTCCATGGAGGTAGCTCCATGGAGGTCATTAGTGCACACTTCTTCTTGAGCAAAAGAGGTATCTCCCATGCAGAATTCATGACCATAGCATGTCCAGATCAGTAGATATCAAAACCAGATGTTCCCCTGCAGTACCAAAACAAGACGCCAAGGGGCCCAAGATGTAATCACTAATTAATTTTCGAGGTCTCATAAAGGCCCAATATCAAAACAAGCATTGTCGAATTGTCCTGTTTAGAGACACACAGACACACCAAAAACATAACCTTCTTGGTTAGGGTAAATATTTGGCAGCATACACAGTAAAGACATGACATGATACATGTGAGTGAAGACATGACATGATACATGTTGACATGATAATATCCTGTGTAATTGACATATCCCGAGGGAATGTACATTAATGGTAACACTAGACTCTGGGTTAATAGCACCAGTGGGGTATGTAAGGTCACCTCTGTAACTCTGTGTCATGCTTGTTTTAAATACCCACATTTACATACCTTGTATCATATGTATGACGTCATTGACGTCATCATCGCTTGACGATGGACATCCAAGAAGAAGAAGATCATAGTTATACTCACCCTATGTACGTAGAGGGTACATGTAAAATATATTATAAAGATTTCATAAAGATATGTTCATTTTACCATGAGGAAGAAGAAACCTACCATAATGTCTTTTGGGAGTGTCCGCATTTAGTTTCTTTCTGGAATAAAATTTGGTTTCATCAGCAGACAGGACAAATGCTCAATTCCTTTAATGTCAGCTTTGGTGACTTAAGTTCAGAAGCCCCTGTTATAAGTAATCTTGTAATTTTATTAGCTAAAAGATGCATTTATAAAAGAAGAAAGGCCAATCATGTTACTTTCTTTATTATGTAAACTTAATTATGTAAACATACAGTAGAATACTCTATAGCTACATGAAGGGGAAATCTGAAGAAGCATCGTGGCAAATGGGGTACTTCATGTTCTTGTGTTTTTCTTTCAATATGAATTTTATGACTTGAATTATTGTTATGATTATTGTTATATCCAATGATTTCTTATGATTTGAATTATTATTGATTAGTTATGACCAATGATTTGTTATGATTTGAACTATTGTTATGATTATTGTTATGATCAATGATTTCTTATGATTTGAATTATTGTGTAATGGATGGTTCCTTGTATGTATTGTTTGGATGTATGAATTAAAAAAAAGACTTATGATGAAGGGATAATGAAAACACTCACAAGAAAAATATATGAAAACTAGAGTCCCCCAATCTCATACCTTCGCCAAATCTTTATGACTGACAAATTATAGATTATTCCCCCTGATTTAACAAATAGGATCCTCATTTTCATGAATTAAATCATTTTATCATATTCTCAACCAAAAGACAGTCTTGTATTAACAAACAACGTCATTCTAGCATTTCTTCATAAATTATGTAAATGAGGTCCTGATTTGAATACATTATGTTTAATGATGTTCCCCCTCCCTAAACTTTCAAATACCACAAGTATGAAATTCTAGGCAGTTATTATTACATAATAATCAGATTTTCTTATTAATTATGCAAATTAAGTTTTTATTTACATAATCAGTATCTGCCTGTGTTTTGTTCTCAATTTCTCAATCTCAAAATACAAGCTTCAATAGACCTATCATGGAATGCAGCTGATTTATAGAATTTCCCCATAAATTATGCAAATTACATCCATATTTGCATAATTGTAACATAATTATATCAAGCATAACGTAAGCTACCTACATACCAAAAATCACGACAATTCATCAACCGGTTTTTTAGTTATCCTCTTTTGAATATGATATACATGTACTTTCTAGAGCAGTTCTAGAGCAAGCAACTAGTGGCTCAACTCATGTCACTTCTTCCCCAGCAAAAGAGTTACCTACCATCCAAATTTCGTCACCCTAGCATGTCTAGATCATGAGATATCAAAACCAGAAGTTCAACTGTAGTACCATAACAAGCCACTAGGAGGTCCAAACTCTAATCATTTCCAGGTCTCATCAAGACCTACCCACCTACCAAGTATCAAGACAATCCACCAAGGCCTTCTCAAGTTCTCCTTAGTTCATGACAATTGTTCTCAAAACTTCCATACAGTGCTTTTCAGTGTTGATAAACACCATGTACATGTAGGTCTTTTCAGTAACAACAAGAATTCATAGACCTCCATGAACTTCCCTGCAGTTCCAGAAAAAGATGATAGGAGGACCAAACCCACACCACTTGTTTGTGACAAGCTGTCTGTTATGAAAAAGTCAAGCCCACAACAGAAGTTCTGGTGCAGTACCAAGGTCAGCCAAGAGGCCCAGATTTGACCTTGATCTTTGCTTTCCTAAGACCTACCAACATGCCAAATATCATCACAATCCATACAGGCATTCTGAAGTTATGCTGACCACAAGTATGCAGAAACACAGACACACAGACAGACAGGCAGAAAAGAATACCTATATTTTCATGCAGGTAATAAGGAATGCATCCACACTGTTCATGAGCCGTTCATCCTGTGCGTTACAAGCAGCAAACACTGTGAGACATCTTCGTGAATGTACCTTCATGAATGGCCGACGCTAGACGTGTGTCCTAACTTTGCATGCTATTGTAGTTTTGCTGTCTTCAGATCTTAGTGATGAATTTAAGTAAACAGAGAAAAGAAGTGAATTTTATGATATTTCAGCTTTCTTTTGATGGTAAAATTGTGATTGTGTGTACTTCTCGTCTCACGTGAGGAGGGTTGTATCGAACACAATCAGTGTTTGACTGAAAACCCGGCTTACGCAATCAATGCTGTCCCATGGGAATCATGGGAAATGCAGACCACAGTAGTGATGACATTGTTTTTCTCAGGTCGGTCTTCTACAAAACAAACAGAGACTGAAATTTCTTCTGTTTTGTAAAGCTTTATGTTCTTATGTATGTAGCAGTTGTGTGACTGCTTGGCAAGTGTCGTATTTTTCTGGGCACGAGCCGCTGCTACCAAGTGACCCTCTTTTCAGTGCCATCATTTTCATTGGTTAAATTCTGATTTTTGACAAAATGATAAATAACTATAATATAGAACTATACTTTGCTTGCAAATAGAAACTGTATGCATTGGCTATGTTTATTAACCTTTTTAATCAGCAAAGCCAGTGCCAATAAACAAGGCATACTTATACATAATAAGATCATTGAAAAATTCTGTTTGAAGTTAGGGCACATGCAAAGTTACGGCATCCTTCATTATATGCTGTAAAAAAATGAAAAATGATACTAATGTTGTAGAATGCCAAACTCAATTCTAAAGGAAAATAAGAAAATGTGAAGAAATGAAAATGAAGAGTCTAATAAAAGTATCATTTGCCATACCACACTCTGTGTGTTTTGGTCATTTGTTCAACCCTATCTGACATAGATTCATAATTAAGGCAATGTTGTTTTTTTTAGCCCAACTTTTCTTTTATTCGCACACTTGCATCAGTTTTGAGGTTCCAAGAGGATGTCATCCTTATAATCAAATCAACATGGCATTAATTTGCTCAAAAATATTAGCTGTCTAAACTCTTTGGTCTTCTCTACCTAAGGCTAAATGAGCAAAATGTTGAGTGAAAATGACACCACATGATATGCAGTCAGTAGCTTTGGGTGTCAGTTGTAAGCCTTGGCTACAGCAGGCCTAAATGATGCTGTAATCATGGTCAGGCGGCTTGAGAACAGGTGTACCAGGTATGATCCACGGTAAACCTCACCCAAACATGACACCTACATGTTCATGGTAGATTGTAGTCTAACAACATCTCTGAAACCATCATGTACATCACTACAAATCAGCTAACAAGATTAACCTGCCCAGCCAATAAACTATGTACATGTCAACCGTATGGAATGCATTGCACATATCCGTGCTTCTCCTATTACACTGAGTGAAAATCCCAAACAAAATGCAATTTTTCAACCATCAGGCGAGGTCCATAGGGAGGAGGATCTCATTTCGCACAGGTGCCTAAAGTAACTTCAGAGAAGATATTGAGTTTCTGGAGCAGATTATCATTCTAGTCACGTCCTTGTCTCTACAGGAGCAACTCTCTGGAAACACTGTGTATGGATTACTCAGGGTGGGCCTGGCTGACATGAAACAAGGACCATGAAACAAGTAGATAATTGTTCCAAATAATCTGGCGAAGCCACTCCCTGCCCTAGTCATTAACACCAGTCATCCATACCCATTTATCTGATGTCTGACAGGTGCCAGGAGCACATGACCACTTCATAGACTTGTTTCTCATCTGGAGCTACACTGCAGAGGAGGACTTCAGGCCACTGGAAACAGATCCGAGGCATTGTACGTGCAGCACTAAGTGCAGGTAGGTAATGTTCCTTTTGCCTTCAATTACAAGATCTCATATTATACAGGGATATTAAAAAGAATATAGTGTTACATGAATGAATCTGACAACACGGTGCAGCTTTCCTGTGGTGTTAAGAAAACATCTTCTCCCTTTAGGTTAAGTTTCTCCTCTTGCAAATAATTCAATTGTTGGAACATATGACAAAATATCACAGTTCATGTATAACATTGTAGCTACTATAGAGCAGTTTCTGCCAATCTTCTTGAACAAGAAAAATGGATATCATTCAGTTGACAATGCAATGATGTAGTGTTTTGGCTTTATACATGCAGGTCTCAAGTAGTTGTGGTAAAAGTCAACATTTTTCAGCAAGTAAAAAGTCTCCATCACTATATTATCAGTCTTGCATTGTTTTCCAAGAAAATGGGTAATCAGGAAATGTTTCTTGACAAGACAACATTCTGTTTTTTCTACATTTCTTATAAGACAATGTTGATAGATTTTAACCAATCACAGCTACGTGTAATAGTCAGACCTAAATGTACAATATGTCTTGAAAAAGAAAATATTGGCTTTTTTCTTTTCAATGGATTTGTAGCGTGCACTGAGTCGAGTCAAGGAGTGTGTTTTGGATTACAATGACATGGAGAAATGATCATGAAAAAATTACATACATTTTCTTATTAATATGATGTTATTACTATTTTTCCTTCACTAAATCTCATGTGAATTTGAATAATCGAATGCCAACTTACAGTAACAGCAGCTACATGTAGTACATTGTACATGAGTGCACAGTACAAATACTTCATCATATGTCATGTGTGTGTGTGTGTGTGTGTGTGTGTGTGTGTGTGTGTGTGTGTGTGTGTGTGTGTCTGTGTCTGTGTGTAATCAAAAAGTTCCTTCTAACTGTTTGCTATCAACAAGAAACATTTTATGGTATATATGACTTTCAAACTTGTATATGCCAAACACAGTTCAGATAAATGATCAGCCATCATGAATTGTAAAAACAGATACCACACAATGAGCTATTGACATTTACTAAATAAAGTCTTGGTTAAATACAGCAAATTTGAAGAGATGCCACAAGTAGATTTTGATAGTACTTTTAGACACATGGCAAAAATAGGTAAATATACACAAGACTTTGTTATTAAGAAATACACTGAAACCTAACACTACAAATGTGTCCACACCTGATTGTAACAATATACTTTTGGACATAATGTATTACACATTAAGTTATGTTTAGCCCTTATTGTTTAGTATGCGGAATTTCACTTTATAGTTTGGAATTGACCTTACAATAGTCACTGTACTTTTTGTCACACCATAAAGCCTCTGTATAATCTATGTGCATTTCATGAATGATTATGGTAACGTCTTTACAGATTGAGCTCTCTCTGGTTGTCCATCGTCTCCGATGATGACAGATTGAGCTATACCATATCGTATTAGTATACAGATATCATTGTTGCCATAGAAGTATCCTCATAATGATGAAGATAATATCTACATTTCCTTACTGCAATATTACAATTACTAGTACTTGTTCTAAGCTGGTTGAGATGACCATTTCATCTCATCCCCTTTAAACTGATAGCCCATGTTAGATCAGAAATTTAGCAGGAAAGGCTGCAAAAAGTAAGCTTTCCCAAGGGATCTGCATTAAAATCAGCACCTAATCAGATTCTTGATCTGATTTAGCAGAAATAAAAGAAAGTCATCAAGCCACAGAGCCATTCTTGGATTCAATCAGGCCCAAGCTGTTTTTCACTGACCTGGAAAATGAGGGCTTGGACAGGAACTATTGAAACCACTGACATTACACAATACTTCTTCTCCTTTCTAGTGGATTGTCTGTAAAATCTGGAGCAGTAAATGAGCCCTTACCACCTAATATGTGCTGCACAAACAATGGCTCCCATTGATTTTTGCTGCAAGGTGCAGGGCTGTATTGACAAGAGAAAGCCAAGCTCTAATTGGACATCTTATTGCCTGCCTGTTAATTGACTGAGCCAACAAATTCAATCAACAGTTCATATGTCATCAGACAAAACAACGTGTTGAACATCTGTTCTTAACAGCTCTGAAGGTACTACCTAACTCATGGATCACTTATGGAGTTAATGTGCATCTTGCTTATTCCAAACCAATTAAATGTGCACGGCTACACTTGCTTCTTAAAGGAGCACTAAAGTTCAGAAAGGAGTGCTATTTTCCTGTAGATTATGCTGCAATGAATTTATAACTAGCCGACTTTTTACATAATCACTTGTATGACTTGCGCGGCATATGTTTGTGAAGTGATATCAATATCATTTTCCTCCATGCTGAACCACAATCGATACATCCAGGAACTCTTGATTATGCAATGCTTAAACACTTCAAGTCAACATAAACATTTTTGGTGAAAATGATAGGAGACAAACACACTAATAAGATGATTCTTGAGAACTTACATGTACTTGCTTTACTTTGCTTGACCTCTGGCTTGGATACTATTCAATTATCAGAATGTCTAATGCAGTCAGCTGCCAGTTTATTCTTTGTGTTTTGATTTTCTCAACTTATTTGCATGTAAATATTAATTGAACAGATAATTAGATTACGCCACTTTTGAAAAAGATAACTAGATTACGCCATTATATTTCATAATCAATATTTTCTGCATAAATGAGGGGCGATAAGGACACCAAGAAGGCCAATGGTTGGTAAGATATCAAGGAACACAAAACAGTACAATTTTTTCTTATCCAAGAATACTCCTGCAGGAGGGAATTACCTCCTTCATGGAGTAATAAGAGTTCCAAAACCTCATACCTTTACCAGATCATGTCAATCTTTACAACTGACGAATTATAAATGGTTCTCATTGCAAATAAGATATCCATTTGCATGAATTACATCAGTTGATCATATTCTCCATCTAATGAGTCTTTTAAGAAAGAAAGCTTTCCCAGCATTTCCTCATAAATTATGCGAATGAGGTCCTAATTTGAATAATTTGTTTAATGATGTTCACCTTCACTTAACTTTCTCAAATGCCACAAGATGCAATTGACACCTGAGTATTTTAATACTTATTTGCATATTTAACAGGAAATTGCTATAATTTAAAAATTATAGCAATTTCCTGTTAAACATGCAAATTAGTTTTTAGATAACAACACCATCTAGAAAACTTGACGGTACTTATATAAAGCTGATGCAGGTAGTCTATAACACAACATGGTGGAAACATACTACAAACAGTCCTAATAATTATCGAGCATTGCCAAATATCACCATCATGGTAGTGAAATGCTGCGGGCTGAGTCTAGCAGGTCATGTGACTCTTGGAGAACCAGCAGAAAGGCTCCTGCACTGGACTCCTGGGAGTCACGTGATTAGAGCCCGCCATCTTGAACACGGAGCCGCTGTAACTCTAAAGTAAATTCTGCTAAAGAAAGGAACTTAAAAAGTGTGTACAGCATGGAACCTTAGCTGAAACAGATTTTTGGGTGGCCAGGATTTAGCTCCCGTTGAACTGCAGTGAATTTTTCGAGGGAGGGTATTAAGTAAAGATGAACCGTTGGGAGGATCGTCATGATTTTTGGTATGTAGTTAGCTTTTAATGCCAAGCAAGATTGTCAATTATGCAAATCAGGATGTAATTTGCATAATTTAATGTGGAAATTATATAAATATGCTGTGTTTCAAGATAGGACTATTCAAACTTGTGACATGTTACTGAGAATGAGAGGAACATCAGCAGATATTGATTATGCAAATGAAAACCTAAATTTCATAATTAATGCAAGAATGCCATAATTTCATACGAAATTTCATACTTACTGCATTTGGAAGTCAATTGAAGGTGAATATCATAACTTATTCAAATCAGGACCTCATTTGCATAATTTATGAGAAAATGCTACAAAAGCTTTGTTTAGATAAGACTATCAGTGGATGGAGGATATGATCAACTGACATAATGTATGTAAATGAGTATCTTATTTGTATAATCAATGAGAAATATTTACAAGCCATCATGTTAAACATCATCTAACAAAGGTATAAGTATGAGGTGGTGAAACTGTCACTGATTATGCAAATTAGATCCTGATTTCCAAAATCTATATTTTTAAAAAGAAACTGTTTCCATTCAAGTACCTGCATTTGATACATGTATGTCTAACTGAAGGTCACATATTGCACAAGTGATTAGAAGCAGTTTACAGATGAACATAAATTTTGAAATAACCATGGGAGCTTCTGAAATGTCAGAGAGAAGGGGACATATCTGAGTGGATCTGTAATGGTAGCTTGGGGGCAATGGGAGATATAAATCAATATGAAGTATTTACTAGATGCATCTTTCAATATTGTCCCAAGACAATCAAAGACAACTCCTAACCAGTACCACGAGTTCCATCATGATTTGACATGCCATCATACCTTTGCCAATCATTACATGTATTGTGTACTTAATAGTGCACACCCCAATTCTTCCATGACCTGGCTCTGGTGGCGTGGTAAAAAAGTAATGGAAGAGTTTTGAGGGTCTAAGTTTGAGTTCACATTTAACGTTATCATAATTTGCAGCAAAATAACATGAGATACTAACAAAAAATTACATGCTTGAAAAGTGTACAAAGTAGAGCTGTGTACCTAAACAAATTTTAGGTACAGGTACAGGTACAGGTACACAGGTTTAGGTACAGGTCCGGACCTGAACCTGTACCTGACCAATTTATATGCTCTTCTGAACTCCTTCAATAACAAAAAAACATAAATAAACTTGATAGTTAAGGTGTATTCTTTGTTTATGGCGAATGCTCAGACAAAAAAAATATAGGCAAAACTAAGTGTTTTTGTTTTCATGAACACACTGTCCTTACACAGGGACCCATTGTTAACCAGCTATTTACACATTTGAGGTCACAAATAGGCATAAAATTGGTGTGAAATTATTTAGGTACAGTACCGGTACTGAGGGATTAGGTATTTTGGACCTGTACCTAATCAATTTTTCCGGTACAGTATCGGTACTGCGTACCGGTACACAGCTCTAGTACAAAGTGGTGTTTTCTTGGTGAAAATTGGTTTTGGCCGGTAGCCTTACTTTGTAGGTATTCTTCCGCGTTGAAAGTGATCCATTTGCCCCCGATCGGCCTCTGTGGCATTGTGTAAGCTGATTTGCAACACCTTGTGGCGTAGATGATCGAAAAAAATAGTTATGGCTTATGACCAGTTAAACTGCAGGCACGTACATAGGCACGTTGGCACGTCAGTTGGTACAAAATGTATGTTGGAATGGTTACGTACATTGAAGCAATTGAGAAATCATCACGGTGATGCCATTCCAGGCCATGCCAAGGTAAGGCACGACAAGACACTTGGCAAGGCCCGGCCGGGCAAGGCAAGGTCAGGCAAGGTAAGGCCAGGCTATCAAAATTCTGTATCAGCTCTTAACACATGAAAGAAAAATATTGTTTTTTTGTAACTGCATAAATTATGTAGATCAGGTAATGCAAGGTTACGTGCAGGCCCAGTTTGACACCTTTACAGTCAGTTATCACACGGCCACACTTCGAGGTGTGTCGTGAAAAAATGAAAGGTCAATGAGAAATAAGGAATAGAATCCTTATATGTATAAACTATATATATATCTTTTATAGCCCGGCCTCAGCTGGTTTCACTGGTACATATGTTTAACATTCCATATTTGGTACATTAAAGCATTTCAGAAACCTTGCATATGCCATGCCATCACGGTGGCTCAATACATTGCAGGATCGAATCCCGATATTGGAATCTTTTTAATTTACTTTTTAACAATCTGTTGTTTTGCTTTTAACCTTCAAAAACTATTTGTTCTTAGTCTTTTTAACAATGCCAAAACCCCAGTATTTTTAAAGATCTTCCAAATTCATTTAGTTCTTTTCTGAGGCCAGCCAGCTTTTTAAAAAAAAGCTTTTCTTGTTATGTTTACCGAAGGAAAACATATTGTTTTTACTCAATTTCCTCTTCTCCAAACACTAACCTCTGACCTGGCCAATGACATGATTTGTTGATGTCTGTCACCATGGTGACTGGTGATGGGTTACATAATGTTGCAAACTTCATGGTCTGCTCTGCTCCTGTCACCATATACTAGTGGTACATGTAATACTATGTGAATATGTTTGAGTAAAAATTAACAGGGCAGACCATGTCCGAAGGTAAACATTCTGCATTTGCTTTGCAAATGTTACTTCTCTAGTTTATGTTTTTAATTCTTTAAGAAAATTTCCATTAATTTTGGCATGAAAATTATGTTTTTCTGTTCACTTTACAAAAATTAAAGAGGTTGAGGAAATCAATTTCTGCTGGTCTTGTAGCTTACATCTGGGATATCCTTGCAACCCTTGCTTATAATGTTATGTAGTTTTCTTCCAAATTATTCCCTTGAAGAGATGGTGGTCTCTTATGCTGTCCTCATGTAGAACTGTGGATGGACCTTCATGATATTTGGTTAGTTGGTAGGTGTTGGCAAAATGAAGAGCACCCTGGTGGCTTTCTGCCGTACAGCAGTGGAACTTCTGTTTTTACCTTAAGAAGAAGGTTATGTTTTCAGGGCATGTGTGTGTGTGTGTGTGTGCGCGCGCACGCACGTGTGTGATAACTCGAGAAGGGATTGTCTTGATATTCTATATTTGGTAGGTGGGTAGGTCTTGATGAGACCTCGAAATGAATAGACTTTGGGCCCCGTACTGGGAGTACGTTGTGTAATTTTGGGCCTCCTAGCAGCTTCTTTGGACCTGAAGTCGGCATTTTTTGCAAATTGCAAACAACTGGAGCACCAATGAATGGTTTTTAGTTTTTGGTAGGCAGCTGCAGGTGCCTCAGATAAACATAATGAGATACATATTATGCAGATCAGGACCTGATTTATGTAAGAAACATATTCTGTGATGGGCTTGATGGACTCTGATGATAACAATTGTCCAAGTATCCGGGGACATCTGGTACTGCAATGTACAATGTAGGTCAACCTGCAACATTTTTTGGCAGTTAGGATGGCGCCTTGAAAACAACATACTAGTTCAATCAAGTTCACCAAGAAGTCTAACTGGGGGCGCTCTAACTTCGGACATGCCCTAACTTCAGACAGATTTTTTACTGATCTTTTAATGCAAGTACGCCATGTTTGTTGCCACTAACTTCGCTAATTAACAAGGCAAATAAACATAGTAAATGCATACAGCTGTTATTTGCATGCAAAATATAGTTCTATATACTTATTTATCGTTTTGTCGAAAAAGGTCACTGCATTGTGGCGGCTCGTGCCCAGAAAATGACCTGTACCAAGATTTGACACAACTTCTGGTGGGCCTAGATTTTTTCTGGTACGCCCAATTGTTTTGTGTTTGGAGCACAGTGCTCCTAAGCCAAAAAGTTAGTCTGGAGCCCTGGAAGGGCTTATGAATAGTATTAATGAATTTCTTATCCAAGTATGTTGTTTACAATTATTTTTAATTTTATGTTCTTAAAATACATTTATCAAAACCTGACCACTCTCTGACAACTAGGGATATAGCACCGAGTGTCCGATGTTAGGGTACCCCCTGTTATGTCTTTGATAGTGCATTTGTGTGATTTGGCTGCAAAAAACATTGTTCTTGGTTGTAATTATACATGTCAGATAATCTAGACTATGAAAAATATTGCATATTCATATACAAGCATAAATTTTGCATATTCATTTACAAGTATACTTTTCCCACATTAATAATATTTTAAAAAATATCTACACTTGATGAAAGCATGTGTTCCACAAACTCTAGTTACTGTTAGTATATGGTTTACTGATATTTGAATCTCTTGTTCACACTCAGATGTGACTGATTTTGCAGAGGGAATTATACTGTATGAAGAAGCTGATGTGATACATATAAGGTGGACCATGACAACGTCTACAGATAGAAAGAAGAAAGAAGACATCAGAGACATCAGTGGCACTAAAAATTCTTAATTGGTCAATGATCACTGACTGACAAGAGAGAAGACAAGAGAGGAGCCTGTGATGTCCCAAAGAACTTGGCTAACCACACCAGATCACCTGACTATTCTCAACAGAAGTGTTAGGATCTTCAACATGCAGACGTTTGCTGATTGCTGAACTGCAGTCCCCTCCAGTAGTGTCCAGTGATTCCAACCTACGTCTACAGTTTCCACCCTGTGCATAAGAACTGGACCACTAACCCTTTACAAGCACTTCACTTCACTTGAGTAAACCCTTATCTTGTGACATATCATCTCACCATGGTACAGACTCCGTTATGTCCAGTGCAGCTCAAAAGATTCCTTTTTCCAGTGGTTTTTATTCTGTGCATTTTGGCAGCAGTCAGATCTGCAGAGGAAGGTTCATCGGACCAGTGTTCTGTGTTGTTTGCAGTGGCCGACAGTGCCGCTTTACAATGCCTGTGTAACCATGACACCAACACAGTGGACTGTCAGGCAAGGAACCTGACTGTGGTGCCTCCAGGATTCCCCACTCGGATGAAACGCTTGAACTTGGAGTACAATCTCATTACTACACTATCCAAAAACCAATTAGGTTCCATCCAATCACTCATCCATCTTGACCTTTCCAACAACATTATAAACAAGATTGACAACAATGCCTTTAGTGGGTTGATTAACTTGAAAATTCTTGAACTTGGCAATAACAATCTAAAAATAATACAGAATGGAACGTTTTCTGGGTTGTACAATCTTCATCAGTTGAATCTGGAATCCAACAAAATAAATAGCATCCACCCCCAGGCCCTGACCTCTCTGAACAACCTTAGGCAATTAAACCTCCAGGGCAACAAAGTCAGCTCAATACAATGTGCCCTTGTGCAGAATCTGACCTGGCTGCAATTACTGTCTCTAAGGGCCAACCCTATCCAGCTAATTGAAGACCAGTGTTTTTATGGCCTGATTAACTTACAAGACATCCAACTAAAGCGCTGTGATCTGACTCAAATTAATAATGGCACCTTCAAATATTTGGTTCGACTGTCAACACTGAATTTGGCCTGGAACAAAATCAGTCAGATATCACAGTTTGCTTTTCAAGACTCTGTACAGTTGACTCGACTTCACCTTAACAATAACAACATTTCCAACCTTCCTGCCAGGGTTTTTGCAAACCTTACAAACTTACAAAAGTTACACCTGCACCACAATCCCATCACATCCCTCAGTACAGATCTGTTCACAGATTTACAAAGTCTTGAATTTCTACTTCTACACAACTTGAAACTGTCCTCCCTACAGGAAGAAACCTTTGTTGGCCTTCCTCCCTTACAGTATCTTGATCTAAGTAGCAATTATCTACAGAATTTACAGAAGGGATTTGGCTTTGTGTTTAAGCCTTATTGGCATGTCAAACTCTCAGGTAACCTGTGGAGGTGTGATTGTGAGATACAATCCATCTATGAGTTTTCCTGGATTGCAGATGAAGTGGTGTGCAGGTCCCCAGTGAAGTTTCAGGATATGTCACTAAATCAAATTCCTTACTCAAATTTATCGTGTACACCACCTAGCATTGCACTGATGACACCATACACCTTAGCCATGATAAATGATACAGTTTTCTTGCACTGTAATTCAAGTGGTTTTCCTACTCCATCACTGTCCTGGCTCTTACCACAGGGGACCATGATTAGCTCCCTACCAGGTACTGGCCTACAGTCTGAAGGTGAAAATGGCTTGACACTGGTAATTGAAAGTGCTCAGCTCAGTGACATGGGTATGTACATCTGCAATGCTAGTAACCCTGGTGGGAAAGACTTTCTCTTCACTTATTTGAAAGTTTTTGACCCAAATTGTGTGGTAAGAAGAGATATGGGGAACAAGACTTTGGTTAATGATTCTTCAGATACAGCATTTGACATCAAAGCAAACTGTAGTTCCACTGACTTTTCTGACAGCCTTTCTGGTGTCATTGCCCTAGGATACTCTGAGTCCACTTCTATTACTGAGACTAAACTTTGTCCAGATAATGTCCCCTGTACAAATGCACCAAACAAATGTTTATGTACGACAGATTCAAAGTCTCAGCTGAATCAACCACAGATGGTCACAGCCACAGCCCTAAACTGTAACTACCTGGTAACGTGGTTCATTGTCGGCATTGTTGCTGGAGTCAGTCTAATCATCGCATGCTGGATTGGATTTACTGTGATATACCGAAAAAAGATCAAGGAAAAAATTGTCTTGCAACAAGCAATAGAGAAATGGAAGCGAAAAAATAATCAGAGGGACTTAAACAGGAAGCCAGCTTTAGGCATTCACGGCCATCAGACAAAGCGGCAAAAATGTACGAGTAAAAACATCTCAGCAACTTTATCATTAGATGTATGTCTGTCAGAGAATGGAAACAAACCTAGGACAGCTCATGTTGCTTTTGCAGAGGATGGAAATGATATCAATGGGCAAATTAAAAAGCCTTCAAATCATAGTAGCCTGTTAGATACTGATAATACCAAGTCAGAAGATCGTAGTGAAATTTTTAATGAACAAACCATTGTGGCAAATGAGACGAGTTCTGCAAAAGGTTTGGTCACAGCACAAGGCAAGGGAGGTGCTAAATTTCAACCAAGTGGCCATGTTCAGAGTTCCAAAAGCAGGAGAAAAACTTCCACTGGACATCAGATGGGAGGAAAACACCTGGCTAAGGTTTCAAATGAAGGTCAGACTCATAGATTTCAAGGAAATGCACAAGCAAATTTTGTACATACTCCAGGAGCTGGCAAGCAGACTGGTGGACAAACCATCACAACAAGTACATCATCTGTTAAACCATCCCCTACAGCATACACTTCACAATCAAACATCACTATGATACCATCTCCTTCAGCATACACATCAAACACCACTATAAGACCGCCCTCTACATACAATTCACCATCTTCATTTTTGGGGAGAATCTACTCTGGTTACCTTGGCAAGTAAAATCATTGTAAATTAACTCTAATATATAATACTGTATAATTCCAAATGTACTGCTCAAAACATTTGTCACATAGCCAGTTTCATCAAGGATCAATGGATTATAAATGGATCAATGGACTTTAAAGCTACTTGGTTATAATTTATAGGGCTTGTTGTCAATGAAATTTACATAATACAACTTCTCACTTTGGCTTTTTTGTTTCAAAAAAGTTTTTAGCTTTTAGGAGCAAGGTCGCAAGTACAGACATTTAAGAACTGGGCAACTTTCTTATACCAGGTGAAGTTTACTACAAACATTGAAAGTAACAAATGGCAGTTACGGAGGTTACAGTGAAGGGCATGACTAAAAAAACATTTTGTTCAGCAAGGGTGGCTATAATTGGCAGCGAACACTAATTTCTTCTTCCCTCAGAAACCCAGAAAACGTACAATATGTCATTAAAACAGCAATTTCTTGACCTGCAATATGAACTTCACAACCGTCTAACTTAAGTGGTAACAAAGGTTACAGAAATCTTTGGTAATGGAGGTTACAGAACTCTCCAAATCTGCAGCTATAATTTCTTCCAAGTCATCAACCAAAGTACATGTAGTGTGGCGGTACATTTTTAGTGAAACATAGTGAAGAAGGCAATAGTGAAGAAAGCAATGATGATGTCCGTGATTTGGCTTATATCTATCTAGTCATAAAAAGTGGCATTTGCAGCATTTGTACACTTGAATGAGAAGGAGCCATACAGATGTATTACTGAAGGAGTAAATCTTGTATGAACACCAAGGTTAACTGGAGCTTTTTTACTAATACTAGTAGTACATGTATGCTTGTATATAGTCTACATGTATAGAAGTGACATTAAAAAAATACTTGAACAAAGTCACAAGAACTCACAGAATGCAATGACCTTGATTACTCCAAGGTACAGATTGCTTTGGGCATGAGACCCTCTCATCCTGTGTACCATCTCCTCTGTCAGTTGTTGCAATAAGTTCATATTAATAAACCCTGAAACTGTCCAGAAGTCTAGTAGTAAAATCTCAGATTTTTGTATTTGAGAGTTTTAAGGTGGCAGAACACAGTTTTCGGCCTATGGGGATTCCTATAGTTAAGCACCCCGAGGTGACTCACTTCGACGAGGTAGAAATTATAGTAGGGTGCACTAGAGAATCACGGCCAACTAATATGTTGAAATATACGGTATATTCTACAAAATAACTGAAAAGCAAAAAAAGTTATCATTTTTTAACATAATGACGACCACTTTGATTTGGCCCTCTACCGGGGTCAACGGAACTGCAGCCGGCTCACCCTGGAACGTGGTTGCGTAATGCCGCGCATTTATACACGAACAGGGAAATCTTCACATTCCAACTCATATTGTGTACAAGCCGATACCTTTCCTTACCACACAGTGCAGTTCATTCATGGCTACCTCTCACATAAGTTGCTTTAGCCAGGATGCAAGAGGTTTGTCTGCACTACTTTCTATACCCGTGTCATAGACTCCGGGGGTTGCGGATAATTACTGTGTTCTGCGACCTTAACTGCAGATACTTAAAGTTAACACTGAGTTCAATACAGATATCATTGTCTATATGTACACACACACACACAATATATATATATATATATAGAGAGAGAGAGAGAGAGATAGAGAGATAGATAGATATGTAGCCTGTAGGTAAAATAATATGTACATGTATGCTTATTGTATTATGTACATGTATTGTGCACCTTTATGCTGCGTAAAATCTACATTTCAAGCATATGTAACGTTACATGTATATATATATGGGCTGTTCAGAAAAGGAAGTTCCATGTACATGTATGCTTATTGTATTATGTACATGTATTGTGCACCTTTATGCTGCGTAAAATCTACATTTCAAGCATATGTAACGTTACATGTATATATATATGGGCTGTTCAGAAAAGGAAGTTCCAGTCCAGACTTTTTACACTGTTTTCTTCACTGCCTGATTAGTTTACCTAGCCTGGATGCCATACTTTTCTCAGGGCCTATAGACAGGCCAGTCCCCAGTTAGTACCGAGGGCTAATGGACACTGTCGAATTGGATGGTTGCCTTGACACTGTAGGATCTGCTTGGAGATTACCAGTCACTGTGGGGTAAAATTTTCTTGGGGACATGTTGGCCTTAGAAGTTAGAGCTGAGAGGCTAGCAGGTATATTGGCCCTGGCAACAGTCTTGCACCCAGGCTTAAGTTTTAAATACCCTATGTTTTACTATATATGCATTTGCCGAAAATTCAATAAATTATTACTATCTTACGTGTAATATCCCTGGTCCTAATTATGGCCATGGATATTTCCCTACTTTTGACTTGTCGTGGCCATAGATGATAAACCACAAGTTTACAATTTGTTTGTCATAGCATCATTGCACTATACATGTACCTCTACTATTATAATAGGTGCAATATGTCTTTTGTTTGTTGATGATCGATGTACTTTGAGGTGAGGCATGACATTGACCATGTCAATCTTGTGCCCAAGTGGATTTGCCAAATTCTATCTTGTGCCCTAATTATCACCATAAATTAAAAATTCTTGAATAATAGCCTTTCCTATAAAGTACAAGCCCAATACAAATTGCAAACACAAGATTGGTATTTGATAATGAATATACATGCTACACTTGAATGTGGCAAGTGCGCCATTCTAGTTTCTGTATTTTTGCTGGTAACTTGTTAGAGGGTACGGCCTTCACCAGTAGCCATCTTGCATGACTCGGAGAGCTCAAAGTTTTATCTCACAAACATCAGAGTCGAGTGAATGCAGACTTTGAGCTGGTAGTAAATACATGTACCTCCAAAACCACATTACAGAATGTAATATGGATAAACAAAGGATGGTCCCATTGTCCTGCATAATCCACGACATCGTACATGTATATATGGCGATAATTAGGACATGGTGATAATTAGGACAAGGGATGTAACATGTACCTGTACCACAATCTGATATCATCATTTTCTTTAAAAGTTTTCCCTAGGGCATGAAACAGAAAAGCACATGTTCACAATGTACAATGTACATTGTTGTATAACATTACATCACTTACATGAGCACGTCAGCAGAATGCACTGCACCTGTGCAAAACCCATAATGTATTTTGTATACACATATGTAATTTTGTAGCACTTCGGTAGAATGTCTCAGAAACTTCACATTTGCGCATATAAGGTTAACATCCAGTCTTGTGTTGGAAAAAATGTTGTCTGCAACGGCAAAATTCTGATGCAACGTTGACCAAACATCCAACAAAAAACGTTTGTTGGATTTTGCACAGGCTTGGTACATTTTGCCAACATGCTCGTGTATGTGACATAATGTTACAACAATGTACATCGTGAATAATGCTTTTCTGTTTCATGCCTTGAAAATGCAAAATATTTATATTTCTCTAGTTTACTTACTGTCATCATTATCAATACTGCAGAATATATACATTTGCAGTTATCTTTTCATTATTATGCATTTCCAACATTCAGGGCTCGAAATGGGAACGGGTTTTCTGCGCGTGAAAAATTTGCACGCGCGTGAAAAATTTGCGCATGAAAAATAAAAGTCCCTGAAATATGTCAGAAAATATGCAGTACCAAATTCTTATGCAGTAAAATGTGATCCTGTGGTATAATTTTCCATCTGTAACTCAAAATTTTTGTTGGAAATTTTAAGTCCCTTGGGAATAGGTTAATTTGCATATTTTCCATAAAATTTGAACATTTGAAAATCACTTGAATTTGTAAGAAATACATGGAAAAGTTACTAGTATAAGGTTTAGGATGGAAAAATGTAACAATCTGAAGCTTTTCTCCATTCTAGAAGCTTGCTTTCATATTTTAGCAAACAAATTCTTTCACGCACAAATTTCAACCTTTTTTTGGGCGTAAAAACTTAACTTTTGAAAATCACTTAAAATCACTGAAACATTGACAAAATACTGCTATGTAGTCTAGAATGCAACAAAATGATGTTCAATTCTGTTTTATGTGTTTTTTTCAAACTATTAAGCTTAAAACAGCAAAAAGTTTTTAAAGTCCCTTGGGAATTGGCTAATTTGCATATCTTCATGCGCAAATTTTTCACGCGCGCACACATTTTTCACACGCACAAAACCCCATCCCGCTCAAAATACCCACGTGCAATGTGAAAAATGCACATGAATTTCAAGAATTGCAAGTAAAAATATTCTAAATGTGCACCTAGAAAATACTGACATACCATGTTTGCAGTGCACCCCAGAGTAGGAGGGGGAGAGGAGTGTGTTTCAGGCAAAGAAGCAAACATTTAAGTGTACATTTAATATCTTTTATGAGCAATAACATATTTTACTTTAGATATCGTGCACAATAATCAAGGGAAACAAATATGCAAAATAAAAATAATTCATTGGCTCTCAGACTGTTGGTAAATGTGCCGTATAAAATGTCTTTATTTTCGGGAAGGGAAGGAAGCTGTATGCTGTGGCAGGCTAAGAAGGTTATACTTGAGGTAGTAAAACAGTTGCAAACCGACTAAACATCATTTTACGCATAAATTGTTTTAATTGCACCTAAAATTTTGGCCGAGTAATTTTGCACGTACCTGAAAAAAAGTATTTCGAACCCTGTTATTGCATTTTGAACATAGTGTCAAGTCTTTAAGCAAAGTAAAATTCCTTGCCTTTACTCATACATGTAATATGTAAATGATTATGACATTGTCTAGTTGAATGTATTTCTTAGGTAGTGTGATAAGAGTTGAAAGGTGAACTTATCATCAAGCTTGCTGTTAAGTCAAAAAAGAGCACTGTCACACCTAAGAAAACTCCCTTTAGCTAGGCCATCACCAATTCAATTTCTTGTTTCTGAGATTTTTTTATTGGTATAACATTATTAAAAAACTGTAAGAACTACAAAGACGAGGAATAATCAAATTAGTGTGACAAAGTTAATGATCAAGGTCACTTAGGTGTGTAGTTTAGGAACTAGTTGCTGACTATCATTGTACTTATCAGTAATATCACATTCTGTCATCTCCATGTCACAACAGTTATTTCAGTAAAGGAGGTCCTCCTCACAACAGAGTACTTGTACTGTTTTATGTATAATTGCATTAAATTTGTGTGTTTGCACAGTTGCACCTGATACAACCTTTTGATTCCAAATTGATAGACTTGTTTGAATTTTCATACAATGTGGTTAGCAATTGAGGTCCTGAGAAATGTGTTGACTTTTAACAATATTTTCAGGTGTTGCAGCATATTATCATTAATTATTAATATTCTTTTTCATAGAACTCTAGTTCATAACGTGATCAGTAGGATGCAGGGCCCTGTGTGCCGACGCCACTTTCCCCGTGAGTTCCACACAAGGCGTGCAGTGCATGTGGAGCCTGTGATTACTTCAGTACCTTTCCCACACTCACTTACGAGTAGGTGATTCAGCAGGGCCGGTAACGCTTAACAGTAAGGTTCAGGACAGTCGCAGTGCTCAACAGTAAATTGACAAGCATTTTTATTCGAGCTGCACTGGATTTGGTATTTGGTGAATTTGTGAGAAAAAGTGATCACTGAAAAAATTAAGTATACCTCACATGTAATAATGAAGTACGCATGAAAGGTACTTCACACTTGTGTTCCCTGTGTCTCTCACCTGCCCTGGTACCCGAGTACGCCACAAATAAAGGGGAGTACGAGTCGGCCAGGGCTCAACGTGAATTTTTTTTCCGTCCGCCCAGGTTTATCGATGGATTTTGGGATCTAGGGGGGTTGAAAAAAAATAGTTAAGAAACCTCCTGTCTCTCTTGTCTAGTTTCCCTTCTTTTTTGATTTTGTTATACCCCAATTAAAAACGGGGTCCAGGGGCATGCTCCACAGTGTAATTTTGGATTTTCGAGTCTTTAAAAATGCAATTTCCTGCGTCTTGAGAGATTTGTGGATGTTTTCATATTATGTTAATTTTGTCTGTCAAGGTTGACGGATTGGTTTAAAAAAAAATTCCGTCACACTTCGTTAAGTCCTGAAAAACTGATGCTGGCTAGAGCCCAGAAGGTACAAACAATGTAGGGGGGTCTGGGGCATTCTCTCCTGGGAAATTCACAACCTTCAAACCTTCAATGCTGCATTTTTCTGCATTTTGAGAGGCAAAATTTCACACAACTTTGGTACATAGGAATGCCACGAGAACAAAGTCCTCCCCCTCCCAAAATCCAAGAAGTTCGTTCTACCAAGAAGGTAGCATTTTAGCCAATGGCCATCTTCGACGTCATTGAGCGAGACGCAGCATGGGATGCTCTCCCTTCTTTGCAGTGATTTGCGGGTATACTGTGCAAGGGGGGGGAGTAATGTGTACTGAAGAGGTGGAGGTTACAGGGCTTACAATTTGGACTTAAAGCCCTCTAGATTGTTGCTGAGGGCAGTATTCCCTGATGGTACGTGGGAAAAAGGATTTTTCTCTGTAGAGAGTTCTGCATTTAGGCAGTTGGTATGCCGCAGAGTGGGTGAGGTGCCTTGGTTTTGAGCTGCTGTAGGTGGGTTTCGAACAGCAGTTAATAATCAGTGAGCCATTGCAGTACTTGTAAAAGTTAATCAGCCGTGCTCTCCTCCGGCGTTCTTGTAGTGAGGGCCACTGGAGGTCGCATAGCATGTCACTTGATGTTTGTCTGTAACTGTGTAACAACTGAGTAGGGATCCCAGACTGAGCTGGCAAAATCTACTAACGGGGGGTGCCCTAATTCCGACCTATGTTCCATGGAAACGCATACCTTTGGCAATAGTTTATTTGACCAAAAACCCGCCCAACATGAGATATAATATTGACAGATAAAGATCACAACGATTAAAGCTGCAGTGCTGTGTATTTCACTTGAGTGTAGCGCCTTGCACCCAAGCGTAATGGTTCGCGAAACTTCAGCAGGTTTTTGGTCATTTTGCCGGTGGAACGTTCTATCGCAACAGGGGTGCCCTAATTCCGACCCAGTGTTTAACACAGGTCAATCTGAGAAGAGAGTTTAGAAATTGTAATAGGAATGATTTGGCCTCGGTCAAATCAGTTAATTAATGGACGATCCCCGATCCCCACCGGGGGGGCTAGCCACTCCAGCTCAGTCATTCTGAGGTTTGGCGCGGGGCAGAACACACGTGTTTTCCCCGCCCACCCTCCCGTGGATTTACCAGTCTTTGGACTCAATAAATGTTTTACCAAGCCCACTACCTTTCTCATCCTTGTCTGAAAGAAAAAGTGCAGGTAATTCACAAATTATGACTAAAACAATCTACAACTGTTTTCTGTTCCAAACAAGTCTTCTTTTTACGATTACGCGACTTGCTCCAAAGCGACTGTTTGAAATGCAAAACCTGCATTTTTGACACGCTCGTCAACCCCCGAACAAGCGTCGAATTCACACAGATTTTTCACTCGTCTGTTGTCGGAGTGTAAGAACTAAAACAAACTTTGTGAGATTACCGATATCAACACAAAAACATTGTCCAATCTTGTGGTTATTTTTAGGCACGTGCTTCCATGCATAACGCCACAACAAGGATTTTTCAAACTAGTTCGGTATTAGGGATGGGTCGGAATTAGGGCCCCCCCCCCCCGTTATAGGCCGGACAAGTGTGAAGTAAGCTTGTTCCTTGATTTTACATGCTCTGACGTTTAGGTTTCTTTGCAGGAACCCAAGTGACTTGTTTGCCTTGTTTGTAATATTTGTAATGTGGGAATCTCAGCTAAGACTCTACTTTCACCTCTCGAATAAAAGTATCTGAATAAAAGTACCCCCCAGACAAAGTAGTGCTTGTGACACCTAGATACATGACCTCGGGGACCGAGTCAAGTGTGTGACCATGCAGTTGGTAGCTTCACGATGAATATACTGATAACGCTTAACGTTGAATTAGAGCAGGCCGGCAACGATTAACGGTGAACTAAAATTTCCAATAACACTTAATGAAAAAGGGAATCACTTCGCCCCCCCCCCCCAACACACACACACAGGTACACAAGGCATTCACACACCACACACAAACAAGACCCGGTTTACACACAGGCAAATTCCTTGCGTATGAAAATTGTGTACGCAAATTGTGGTCTCTGGGTGCTCAGTTTTAGGCTTGTATCAGTTCAGAGTCAGTTGTCAACACTTGTAAGAAACAGAGATGATACATAATTTCAAGCCAAATTACCTTGCCATCGTCACACATGTCTCGAGTGTACTGCGCTTGTCTAATGCCGTGGCTTCTCCTGACCTCCTCCTCACCGGCACAAACGAGCAAAATCCAAGTCAGAACTATTAACGTTAATGTTTCACGAACTTTCTTGTTCCTGGTAGCAGCCATTTTCACCTTTGACCCTTGGCGGAAAAACCTGCCCAATCTGAAAAAAAAGTGTCTCAATCGGGGTTCCTGGCAACGCTTATGCTAAGAGCTAACAAGGCTGAACTCCAGCCTAACTCTACAGGAGATCTGCTACAGTCGTCGCGGCTACTTGGAGATAATGTTTGCGGGTAGAGGACTGTCTGAAATCCAGGGTTTACGGAAAACTTCGGGCGTCCAGGCTAGTACGTCAGGCAACTCAGATCCACCCATTCATATCCTCACGAAAGTGGAGATAAGACATCCAAGAAGCTGCGCCCTCTAGCGGAATGCGCGGAAATTACACCCACTACACTGGAATGTAGTGGGTGTAATTTCCACTACAATTTTGCTGACACACATCTTTTTTTTACATGTATGTCCACAGTCCTACTAGTGAAGTTCCTGGAATCCCTTGGGAAAACCTTGTTGGGGATGACGTACATTCCTGGGGACGTTCACTGTACACTCAGGGGAGGGTAACGTTTAGACTAACAGGTTACAAGGTAACGTTACATGTACAAAATGTAAATATCATGCACAGTAAACTTTGTAATAACGATATACAATTGCTAGTAACGTTACCAGTGTTCAGATGCAATGAAGCTGATGACAATGTTTATTAGTATACTGCTGCTGGTGATGACATATGATATTTAAGGGTTAATGACCCGCCCGAGGTGAATATGGTGTGATAAAGCCTTGTCAGTGGCTATAACCACCGAATAAAGCTACCAAGTGAGCGCAGCAAACAAGGTGGCTTTATGAGGTGGTTATAGCCACTGACAAGGCTTTATCACACCATATTCACCGAGAAAGGGCGGGCCATTAACGCTATTATCATATAGCTAACACGATAGCCTATCCAAACTGATGTAGTGAAGAGTAGTGACACAATGTACATGGCAATGGACCTATACCATTATTACGTCACAGTTTGTTTACCGCAATGAATGCCGGTCAATCGACGTCTATATTGTACAGGGGTGTGTAGCGCGATGTGTGTTTCTGTAGCGCTAGCCTTGATATAAGGCCTTTAATACAGTACTACTTTCGTCTAATGCACCCATGCGGCATGTAATGCTGTGTCAACACAACTAGACGCAGCAAAAAGCAGACATACCTTACTTTGAAAACTTTGAAATGATCTTTATTCAGCCGCCACGCCACGTCGAGAGTTCGAGGCAGTTTTATTTTCCTTCCGCGAAAGAAATTAGTCCGTTCCATGATTTCGGGGGCCGACACGCCTTACCTGAAAGCTTGTAGCTGAGGTCTGCAATCATTTATCTTCCTAACTTTAACTGATTTATAATGTGTAAGCTTCATTGTTACTCCTATACATTTTTGAAGCAATGGCACACCGTGATCCTTTCAAAAATTTGACCAAAAAGCAGGTAATTTTCGTGCAATTCCCCTTCTCATTTCTAACTTGTTGTAGATTCTGATCCAACAGGAAATCTAGTGTGTATGAAAGAGCAAAGATTATACTTTGTGTTGATATATAATTATAACTTGTTATCGATTTCGAGGGCGACATGCAGATGCCCCAAAACGCGTTCGATTTAGTACGTGGCGTGACGGCTGTTATTCTTTAACTGACCGTTCTAGAATGTTCTTTAGAACAGGTAAACAAACTGTGACGTAATAATGGTATAGGTTCATTTACCAGTTGCACATGCTGAATAGAACATAGAATATTTGTTCCATCTGGAGTCACCTGAGGTCACTGGGGGGTTCACGTTCTATCTGGGTCACAGGCAGGGAACAGGTGTTCTTATGGGAGTCACCCGAGGTCATTGGAACACAACTCAAGTTATTTTTTTTAGAAGAGAATCGTGTAATATATGGGTCACCCGAGGTCATATACGGGTGATTATTGGGTTGTTTAATGTATGGATTGGGATGATTAAATACCCGGTTTTGACTCTATTTGTGACATTAAGGCGTCATAAGGAATGTGGAATGGAGCCTTCTGATTGGTCAACGTCACCCG